GAAGTTTTCTTCAATTAATCTTAGGGCTACTTCAGAGCTACCTAGTGCTAGATTTGACAAGTGTACACCACACCTAACCCACTAGACTCACCTAGGTCAAGCTACTAGTTCATACCCCCCTTAATAGTATGGCCAAAGGAAAAAAAAATAAAGTCCTAAACTACTCTAAGTGTCTCTTCAACACCAAATGACACTTAGAACTAGTCCATCCTTAACCTTGTCGTCCATCCTTTGAAAACCAAAACGATTTCTATCGTAGGGGCATGACAACCATGATTGCTCAATCAATTGTCATTACCATGACCTAACTTAATTGCCTCTGCAAAACACACGTTAGTCATAGTAATCTCGTATTGTCATTAATCATCGAAACCCAACTAGGGGCCTAGATGCTTTCAGGGGGCAAAGTCGAAGCCGTTTAGGTAGGGGGGAGGAAAGATTTGCATTTGTGAGCATCAATGTTGTGGAGCTTGGTCTCTTGTAAGGAGACGATGTGAGGGTGGGAGATGGAGATGGTGTCTCGGACAGCATCGCACTTGTCCTAGCGGCCCAGGCCACGGACATTCCAGGACATAACTGAGTAGATGAAGAGGTTCTGATTCATGGATGAACGATTACAACTCCTAAGGGATTACAACAACATAAAACTAGGAAAGGAAAGGACCCCGTGGGGGAGACACAATGGCAGCCACCTTCACGGACGCAGCCGAAGCGGGTGGAGAAAATGTCTTGCATGCTGATAGGCAAGGCACTACCGGTGACTCGGGGGGGGGGGTCGAGGTGCACGGTGTGGCGAGATGTGGCCCTGGTGATCTGCAAAAGCTAGGGCCACCAGGGCTCCTAGAGGAGCCCTATCATGGAGTGATGATGATGCTCCTCTCGACCACATCCATCGTCTAGGCGCCGGAGCAGAGGATGCCAGCAGCTTTGGCCAGGCACTTGATGTGAAGCGCGTTGAGGGGGGTCCTGCGCTTCAGCAGCTTGCGCCCCTTGATATGCTTCTTGAGCACGGCGAAGCAGGAGACCAGGCCCTCACGGAGTGCCTTGAGGTGGGTGGCCTTGGCTGCCACCGGGACTAAGGTCTCGGGCTCCTTCTTGGCGAGGCGGGCACTGCTGCCCTGGGGGGCGCCGGGCGGGGCGGCGTCCCTGGCTGCACCTGGTCGGAGGCTTATCGCTGTCAGCTGGCGATGGCGGTGGTGGAGGAGGAACGTCGTCGTCCTCGTACCAGGGCAGGGTGGTGGTGGAGCCTCGGGGAGCCTATCAGCGGTGTCAGAGGAAAGGGTGAGAAGAGGAGCGTGGGAAGGAACAGGGAAATGGGGGGAGTTCAACTCGGTAGTAGTAGCCGAAGCCCGGTAAGAAGCCTGGGCCCCCACCAAGCTGTCCTGGAGGCCTGACAACAGCACCATGGAGGATGGGACCAAAAGCAATGGGCGGGCCTAGGAAGTCAGGGGGAGCATTGTCGCCATTTGGCGAACCTGGCGGGCGCAGGAAGAATGGGCGGAGGTTGCCCATCTCATCGAGTTGCTTTGCCCGGGGCTAGACCCGGAGGATGGAGATGGTGAAGGAGGAGCCGAGGACGCACCCCTATGGCCCTCGGCCATGGTTCTCGATCCACTGGTCCTCGTCGATGCCATCCGGCTTGACCCTAGCGACCACCACGCGCAGCGTAGAGTAGTCGTCGTCGAGGAGGCACTCGGGGTTGATCTCCACGACGGTCTCGATCTTCTAGAAGGCGGCCTTGATGCCCTCCGGGTGCCAGTGCTCTCCTAGGAACTCGGTTGCAGAGATGGCCACCAGCCAGGGTTGGTCGAGGACGAAGCGGTTGGAAGACTCCTCGGCGTGCTCGATGGTGAGCCTGGCGCCATCATGGATGATGGGGCTGAGGTTGGCGACCGCATCCCGATCAACCTTGGAGTCAAACTTGAGGAGCATGTGCCCGCGGGAGGAGGGGATGAGCCGGCAGTGGGTGTTGGGAGTGACGGCGAAGAGGACATAGCGGATGTAGGGCGCAGGGGTGGCGGTGGGGCTATCATTGTTGATGAATGCGAAGGCGGTCCTCCACACCCTATCCATGTCCCCCTCTGGCATCCATAGCAGCTCGCCATTGCCCCCAGTGGGAGTGTCGGACGACGCGGCGTGGAAGAGTGAGCCGTCAGAGTCGACCTCCTCCTCGGATGTCGCTGGAGGGGAGCGTGAAGTCGGCGTACTCATCGTAGTCCTCGCACCCCACAGGAGTGTTGGTGCCCACATGGTGAGCCGGGGAAGGAGCAGGGAGGGCGGAGCGATCAGCCGGCGGCTCGTCAAGGTCGGCCAGAGCAGTGGGGTGGGTGGGGATCCGGAGACATGGATCTCACGGAGCTCAGGACGGGAGACGGGGGTGGGAGTAATCACCGGTGGAAGGACGGAGTTGGGAGAGCGAATGAAGGGGCAAAAGGCGGAGGACGAGGAGGAGGAGATGGAGATGAGAGGGTGGATGATAGTTGGGTGAAGGGGAGGGCGGGGAACTCAAAGGTTGAGGGGAGGGTAGGAAGAGCTCATGAAGGGCGCCACGAGGCAGGCCAAGGGGTGGCCCGATGAGGCGGCAACGACGTCGAGCGGCAGTGGCTCTCCATGTGGCCAGAAGCACCACACCGCCGGCACCAGACCGGATCACGACAATCTTTGATGTGGTGGTCAGATGCGAAGCAGCGGAGGGAGGGATTCGGAACCTGGGTGGAGATGGGGGTTTAAGAAGGCTCCTTGAAGGAGGTGGCAGTCCGAGTAATGGCGGCGCTTGGCTCGATGATCCCCCCGATCAAGTCGGTGTCGGCCACGACGGAGAGAGACGTGGCGAGGGGAGGAGAGGAGGGAGGGATGAATTAGTGGTAGATGAGGGAAGAGTAATTGCGGATAGAGGTGGAGTGAGGGAGGGGTTAGAGGCAGATGAGAGCTGAGTAATGGTGGTGCTGGGCTCGATGGCCGCCCCGGTCATGTCGGTGTCGGTCATGGCGTGAGACATGGCGGAGGGAGGGGAGGGGAGCAGAGGAGGGAGAGAGAGGTTGGAGGCTGATGAGAGCTGGACGACGTAAGCAAATCCACTGACGGATTTTCTCCCTTGCAGGCGCGAGTGAGTGGACTGAGAGCTGGCAGGCATTTTGGGGTTTGCCAGAGGAACACTTGAGTGGTCAGCGGGGACGTCAGGGGTTGGGACTTGGGAGAGTTAAGGCGGTCTCTAGACATCGCCGCTCAGCCGCCTGGCGTAGCCGCTCCGCCTCGAAGACTACGTGATTTTGGGAGTAGTGCATGGAGAGCTCGAGCTTGCCTCGCCCGAACGGGATGTTGATGGCCATGAAGGCGGCGACGGAGGGGCTCGCGACATCGGCGGCAAAAAGAAACCGGGCAACGGGGCGACCACGGATTCTAACCGGGGGGGACGGCTAGTTGGAACAACAGAACATTCCCTACCTGGAAGCAGTTGAGGTCCACCGGGAGCACCGGAGTCACCTAGATCGCCGCCGGCGACGGTAGGGGAAAACCGAAGAGGGAAGAGGCGGCGGTCGAATGGAAATCAAGGAGGAGGAGGTCCTGGAAGAGGGAGCCTGGTCTGGGAGCTTGAGCCGGGGCGCGTACCTGGTTGGTCGAGGGTTGGGCGTGGCTCCCTTCAAGGGCGGCGCCATGACCATCGATGGTCGCCGCGGGAGGAGACGGGGTGCTTTCCGGTGGCGGGGTGGCATCTTGGGGTGCCGCGCCGGAGGCTGATGGTGGTGTCTCGTCGTGGGTCGGTGGCGAGGGCGCCTAGCGCGACGGCAGGGGGCTCCCGGCAGGGGCGCCGGGAGCGGGGTCGTTCTCCCCCATCCTTCTATTCGATCCGAAGCGTGGTATTGACTTCACTCCTCTGATTCCCTCTTGTGCTGTGGCTGTGACTGACAAAATGTTTTACGCTGACTCAGCCTGCTCACACAAGGTTTGGCCGGCATCCAGGACGTACATGTCCATGGAGTAGAAAACGTAAGTGCTCTTGTCATCCAACCTGTTCCGCAACATCAAGAAGTTTGTCTCTAACTGCACCCATTTTACTTGAATGAATCACTGCTGAACGCACAGGTTGACGTTACCGAGCTCGTTGTCGGGCACTCTTCGTACCTGTCGCTTCTCGAGAAAATTCTCGACCATCTTGAGCTAAACACCTACTACCCTGTGTTCCATCCCTGCACAAAATAAAGAGCGCCATGCAATGCCCATGCATGGGCTACATACTGTGTTTCAGAGTTTGCACAGCAGGTTGCTACAGAGCCGGAATTTAGTGGTAGACTAGTAAGGGATGTTCTGCTGCTGAAGTGCCTCTGAAATTTGCTGTGTTCTTTTTTTTACGAATTGTAGAAACAAACCTTCAGCCTGCCTCGGTTGGTTTGGTTCGTTTAGCTTCTTTGGTTCGTGAAGAAATCTTCTTGGCTTGGTTTGTGAGAGAAAAAACTCTGTTCGGGCTGAAAATTTACGATCGTTTACGACAATGCGGTACCAAACAAACGAATGCGCTGCTTATTCGCCTGTTACGGTTGTCGCGAAAACTTGCCGGGCAGAGTGTGCCTCTGCCTTTCGCAGGAGGCGGGTGGACGTATCATCGCCGGGGCCGCGGAAGTTCCTTCCACAGGAATGGCAGAATGGCCAGTGGACTGCCGCTGCCGTGGTCAAGGTGACCGGGCGGCGCCGCGGCACGTCGTGGGCATGACCGTGGCGGCACGCGCGGTGCCGTGACTTGCAGCCGAGCGATGGCGCATGTGGCGACGTGACAGAGGGCACGGCGGGCAACCAAGAGGCTGTTGTTTGGTTCTACGCTATTGTTTGCCACGCCTCAGAATGTGGCGACGCCACATGGAGTGTTGGGCGAGTTTATAAGCCGCTTATGCTGATTTATATGCCTGATTTACTATAGCTGACCTGACACGCCGGCTCATAAGCCGGCTTATTAGAGCAGCCGAACACGTCTAGGAAGAGAGTAGAAAGTCATGTGGTGTTCGTTTTCACCGCACATGGAGCGTAGCAGGATGCGGCCCGTAACCAAAGAGTCTACCTACGTAGGTGGAGGGGTCCAGTGGCACACCACGACACGACGAGGCAGCATCCACATAAAGCGCCATGCAGGCCCGGCCAGGAGTGCTTGGCTGGAGTTAAAAAAAAAAGAGTGCTGCTTGGCTGCCGGTGCCGCGTCAGTTCGGGTACGACAGCATTCCGTTCACATGTCTGCCGCGGGCCGGTGGCCGCTCTTCTGTAGGCATTCGGATGATTTGCACGCCCCTCTCCGTAGGCATTCGGACGTGCAGCCCTTCTATGTACGATTGCACAGCACCCTGACCTAGGGAGAAAATTCATGTTTGTAGCTGCCCACAACTCCGTTTAACTGAACAAAAGGGGTGCACTCCTGCACCAAAAGCGGAGAATCTTCATCCCAGGCCATCAGTACCTGCGATAAACTTCAAATCCTAATTTAGCCATGCTCCTCTCTAAGGATATGTACTACTACCAGCTTAATGGTGCTGACACGGTTAATAAGCGTTCTCCTATACTCACTACGACGAAACCATATGCTGCTATACAAAAATGTGAGGGCGACCAGGCAATCGGGCGTTCCGCTTCCACGGCAATGGCAATCACCGGTGCAGGTACTGGCATTTCGAACCCTTCCAGCAGTGGCCATTCTCGTAGTATTTACATACCCCCCAATGAGACTGCCCTCTTGACGAGGGTCTTGACGAACCACCACTGCCATGGTCATGACGATGGTCAGACCTCCTAGGGTAGTTTGAGCTACCCCACCGCGAATCACTGCTGTGAAAATGCCTGTCATGTTGGTGATTCCCCTGGCTGCCCCGACTGGGGTTACCAGATGATGGATGCCAGCTCCTGTTGCTTCCGAGAGCCTCTCCCCAGCCTGCATTCTTGTCGCTGTTTCCCTGTTGTCTCTTGGATGCTTCCAAAGAGTTTCCTGGAGCCTCTTCCCAACCAGCAGCACCCTTGTCGCTGCTTCCCTGTTTCTTTGCCAACGAGTGCCTCCCTGTTGGTGTCGTCGCTTGGTGACTAGAAGACAATTTACGGTTTTCGCTGGCACCAGATGTGACCTTTGAGCTCTCACGACCTGATGAATGCCAACCTGAAGCTTTTCTGCTTCCCTCTGGAGATGAACTTGTTCCTTGCCAGACATCCACTTTTGCACTCCGATCTGTAGAAGAACCAGAGGGTTGCCAACCTGCAGATTTTGTACCCCCCTGGGTAAAAGAACCTGATCGTTGCCAGCCATGAGCTTTTCTGCTCCCCTCTGGTGATGTACTTGACCGTTGCCAAGCTGAGGCTTTTCTGCTCCCATCCAGGGATGAACTTCGCTGCCAACCTGAAGATTTTGTGCTCCCTTGCGTAGAGGGACACGATGCTTGTGAACCTGCAGCATTACCAATCCCTGCAAGTGATAAGGCTGGTGGTTTCCAACCCGAAGCTTTTGCACTCCCCTCTAGAGATGAGCCTGGCGGTTGCCAACCCAAAGCTTTTGTGCTCCCATCTAGAGATGGGCCTGATGCAGTGCTTGCTTTTGGTTTTACCTAAGAGTGTGTCAGAAGCAATATATTAGCTAGAACATTGTGTTACTAAGTTTTTTCCTCTAGTCAAGAGACGAATCAAGTTGGAATCTTACACCAGTTAGATATATGATTAACATTACCTGTTCTGGCACTAAAGAACCTGAGGCACTTGAGTTTGCATGTTCCATCTTTTTCTCCCCTTGTGTTGGTAATGTTTCGACAAAATCACTAACTCCTTGGTCCGCTCTCGCCTCCTCTATGATGCATGAAGCGTCTTTTCCATCAGCTCCAAGACCTGTAGAAGAATTTTGTAAGACTAAAAGTCGTGTAAGGAAGCAAAGACAGAAAAAGATAGGCATCTTAACCTGATGAAGTCTGGATACCAGGTGTTGGTGAAGGCATTGACCACATGTCATTACCAGGGTCATCTTGGACGCCCCATAGAGCAGAATCAACAGCTTCACCCTGATAGTAACTTGGTTCACCCCAAGGGGACAATGCAATAGGACTAGAGCATTGTGGTTGTTCTTCCTCAGCTGAAGCTGGCACTAAATTTTGTAAAGGACAATCTTGTTCTGTTAACGATTCCAACACATCTGATACAGCAATGCCTTCAGCATCAGATACAGGATTGACCACTTCATTATTTCTCTTTATCACATTCTCTTCAAACAAATGCTCTAATTGATTGATTGAGTCCCTATCTGTTGGACATGATCTTTCCTTAAGTGGTTGCAAGCTATCAATTTTACTAGTAGGTGCGCGGACACATGTCTTTGTAGCTAAATTCTTATGTGCTACTGATGTTGATCCTGACTGGTTCACGGAAGTCTCCTTTCCCTCCAGTTTTGGTATAGGACTAGGGTAATCGGACTCAAGATGTTGAGTTTTCAAGGAAAAGAGTGAGCCACTTTTAGGTTCAGGAAGCCGATCAAATGATTCACTTGATGTGTCAGGTTGGCATGTTTTACGCTGATCCATGTTTGCCTCGATCTTCCTTGAATTAGATGTAGATGTTGGATCTGGTTGGGGAATGCAGGCAGGAGCCCCTGACTGACAAGACACAGCAGAAGCAGAACTCGAATCTCTGTCTTCAACAGGATTTGTTGGAGAACAAGTCTCTGGCTTTGCTAAAGCAATAGATAACTGAAGGTCATGAGTTCCAGCATTTGTAGCTGAACTCCATGAAGAACCTTCCTGCTGGCACATGGCTTTGAACTCCGGACGACTTGTAGTACTAAGGGAAGTGGCAGGGTCTCTCTCAGATTGTTGTGGAGTAAGAACTGAGACATGTGAACTACATTTAGATTCAGTTTGCATTTGGTGCTTCCCAGTGCAACCATCAGGATGCTGCTGCGCATTACTCTTCCGACTATGATTGGTGGTTAGACTCCAAATACCACCATTGTCCTGACAACTGTTCCATTCACCAACCCTGTCTCTTGAGACCCTTTCATCATGAGAACCGGGTGGTACATATGGACCAGCTGAAGATAGAATTGTGGATGAATAGTTAACCTGATTCTGGACCTCATGCAAAGCATGAGCATCTTTCGGAGATCCTGATGGCAAAGTTCCACCCAGAGGCTTTAGATCTTTTGTTGGATCATAACACTCAGCAGACGAGCTAGATAATGCAGAAGAACAGACCATGTTATAACCCATAGGGGAGGAAGAGTTATTTGCATTTGAGTTAATTCTATCTTGACCAGAGCCTGCCCATATTGATTTATCACTGGTAGTAACTGCTGAAGGCTGAATAAAATCTTTCTGCTGCTTTGGGAGCACTTCAGTCAACAGTAGTGAGTTCTCCTCACTCTCAAATGTAAGCCATATTCTCAGGTCACGTGGGAAAAAACTTGCCCACCTGGATAACTGCAAAAGAGTAAATGGGCCCTGAACATTTCCATTAGGGTCCTTGTAGTGCCAAACCTTTTCTGGCTCGGTGTCATTTGATAAAACTCCAAGTGATGCAGGCTCAGGTGCCATGTTGTTTAAATTAATGTTACTTCCTGCACCTGATCTATGGTCCACATCCTCTGTAGGTAGACTGCTAATGTGACCGCTTGCATCCAGACTCTTTTGTGTATGATTCTCCACAGAATTCAGTTCTGTCCCTTTTCTTCCTGGAAATAATTGATCTGGTCCATTCCGATGCATGGTCCAATCAACTACATACAAATCAGAAAGCAAGTTCGCAGAAGTTCAATATAACTGAACACATCATTATAGAATAATAACAGTTCAGGTAAATTTAGTACCAGCTTTCTTATAATCTGGTTCTTCAGCGGATTCATAACTTGGATCCATCCGGGGATCAACATGTACTTCTGGAACTTCATTAACCATGCGTTCTTTTTCTTCAGGAGTGTTCAGAAGCTGCAACTTTTCCACACACTCTCTCAATGTATGATATAGTTAAGGATCATAAATATTGATTATCATTATTGACGTAGGCAAAGTGGGACCTTTAAGACACCTGAGGCTATTCAATAAATTTGAAGATAAACAAAGAAAGGAACCCCTGCTGATAATAATTTTCTCTAGCAAGATTCAGACCACAAAATTATGGTAATAAAAAAGAAGGCCATAGCATAAATCTTTGAGCTTTCACAGATGCGTCACATCAAATGCAACAAAATACGAATCATATTTGTCAAAAGCTGCTTTGATAGAGGATCTTCTCTAACACTAGGTAAAAAAAAAGGTGCAAAAGTTCATTTCTCAACACTCAGAATTCGAGGATGACAAGATTTCTACGCTCTTCAAAAAATTACAAATCAATAAGGCCAATCCAATGGCACAAAAGTGAACAAAAGAATAAAGACAATTTATATGAAACCTAAGGTACCTTGAAAACCTATAAAGTATTTCTAGCACAGGTTTCGCTGAAACTTTAAAACCTCTAACAGGGACAATTGAAGATTCCTATGTCAACTTTGCTTGAATAGTATATCCTTATCGATTAATTCTTTACCAAAATACCAAATAACAGTTTTAATGACGATATTAAAATGTTCTCTCCATCGAGCACACAAAACTAGGCATGGTGTAAGAAAAAGCCAAGTGATAATGTATCCAAATAAATGGTCCACATGGGCAGAGGCAGACGCAGCATGATTCCTGGGTATTCCCAGGAATACCCAACTTATTTTGCAAAAGGCCATGTATATGTAAAATATATGCATGTATATACATAGTTTTGTGTTTGACCAAAATGATTTTTGAGTTCCTGAGCATCCCATCAAACTCTAGCTACTCTCTTTCTAGTCCCGCACTCCAGCATTAGTATGTTGGTCATCCTCCTGCTTATGAGGTAACCTATGTCAACAGCCTTGTCATAATATAATACATGACTCTAGGCATGTTTGGAAGCTATTGTCCACTTACCCAACATGTTGGCAGGCCAAGCATTGGCGAAGGACTCGGTCGTCTAAGTTTAGCTGTGTGCCAATGTTTCCTTTTTTTTTGTCTTGTGTGGGCGCACTTGGTGCCAATCCAAACAACCACACTGCCACCAGTAAATAGACGCAAATTGGTTGTGCAAGCTGGCGGCAACATCCAAACGTGTCCTCAATCTCTTTCTATCTCTCGAGTCTTGCCACCCATCACCATTTTAAGCCCCTATCTCCTTAACTCTTAGTCTGAATCAAAACCCTAGGTTAGGCCTGCTACCGGCACAGCACCCAAGCGACAGCCAAGAGTATAAGAATAACCGAATCAAAACCCTAGGTTAGGCCTGCTACCGGCGCAGTGCCTAAGCGACAGCCAAAAGTATAAGAATAACCGATTCGTGAACAATGGAGCGGTCTACCGGCAAGTAGTGCTAGCAGCCAACATGCTGTAAGGCCACACACGGCCTATAATGTTTAGTCAACCATGCAGCACACGAATGTTTAGTTTCATGTAGATCCTAATAGAGTTTTAAAAAATGAATAACAAACCAATTAGCATGAATTATCTCTATGGTGGTATCTAGAATGTGAATCATTTGCGCTCATTTATCTTATCACATATAATTTTGTGTTTAAGTCTTTTATGTTGGAAATACCCAACTTTGAAAATCCTAGCTCTGCCACTGATGGTCCAGTGTAAGGATTTGGGGGGCAAGACACCTCCCTGGAGGCAACCCTGTTAGTTTCGCTGAAAAGTCAGGCTGAAAAATACTGTTCGCTGATTTGTTGTGAGAAAAAAACACTGTACCATGGCTGATAAGCCACTCTAACACACAGGACCAAGGAAAATGTAAGAGCAGCGCATTATTAAGAGAAAAAGGATATTCCTTTCGACGTCCAGTTTCACTAGCACGATCACGAAGATGGCTCAGCCTCTGTTTCTCATTTTCCAACCACTGGAAAAGAATTTAGCAAAGCATGTCAGGTTATAAGTAAAGCTAGAGGAATTCGAAAGTAATCATGGCTCAACAAGCGGCAAATGTTCCTTTAAAAGATTTTGCCTACATCTTTAAATCGCAGAGATTGGAAGATTTTAGCTTTCTCATAGACATCTCCCTGATTGATTAAAAAGGAAAGAGGAGATATCAGACTGTAAATTCGATAGACTTGGGAATCAAATCTGTCATCATATATTGAATCATAGCGGTACCACTTTTAACCGGGCAGTTAGACCAAACTTCATACTCTGACGTAAGCGCTTGCATTCCTCCTACGCAATGCATGCAAATGAACAGTGTAAATAGCTAGTTATATTAAAATGACGAAAAAACAGTCCAACATGTATATAATAGATTCAATATGGGCAATAATGAGAACTAAGCATTTAAATAGCTAGCTAAATTAAAATGGTGAAAAAAACAGTCCAACATGTATACTCCCTCTGTCTCTTTTTATTTGTCGCTATGGTATTCCTGCTGGTCAAACTTTCCTAAGTTTGACTAGGTTTGTAGAAAACATTGGCAACGTTTGTATCTCCAAATAAGTTTATTATGAAAATAGATTCAATGATCTATCTAATCATATATACCATAAATGGGAACAATATCGGAGTACCCCCGGAGGGCCAAGCCAAAACCTGTATGTTAGATATCTACCAATATTAATATTTTCTTGTATATATTTGGTCAAAATTGAATACGTTTGACTTCTCGTGAAGTGAGAACGACAGATAAATAGGGACGGAGGGAGTACAATATATCTATCATGGGACGATATTATGGGACGATTTATACATTATCAGCAACTTTCAAGAATGTAAACAGTATACCGCATCATAAAGGTATTTAGCCAAAAACAAGAACAAATTAAGAGGCCAAGGAAACAAGCAACATACTGCATTTTATCAAATCGAATGGAATAACTGAGATCAGATTTTGTACAAATGTGTTTGAAAAACATATGTACTGTATACGATGACATTCAACACCAATCTCTCACTGAACTCTTGTGATTTTAATTGTATTAAGATTTAAGATCCAAATTGACTTTACCGTAATTTTAGCAAAGAAAACAAGGTATATTCTATGTTGGGAGCAATGATTTTCATTGCTGAAGTGAACTTTAAAATAAAGATAAGTGCTAAAAAAACATTACCAACAGAAAACCCAAGTATGATATTTTTGGTGTCATAAAAAAATCACAAACTGAACTGTAAAACAATCTATAATATTTTTGTAATAATGCTGATTTGTGCTAAAGGTATATAGTGAGTTAATTAAACAACAAAGGGGAACCGATATATAATATATATCACAATCAGGAAGGTTCATTCTACAGTACTAGCCTACTAGGTCTCGAAAATTAAATGTCTGCACTACATATCCTTGGATACATCATCATAGAATTGTTGTCTTATATTTAATTACCTCTGTGAAATCCTGATTTGAGATCGTATCCATTGTGATAATCTCTTTTTTTTCTAAATTAGATATCTCAAGAGCATAATCTGTTGTCTTCTTACCGACAGTGTATCGCTCTGCAACTTTATGTGTACCTACATATAGAATTAAACCCAGGTAGCATAAGTATTTAGCATCACAGGTCTATACTCTGTAGTATTAGTAATCTTACCAAGAACTTTCACCAGTCGGTACATATCTTGCTTGTTGCCAAGACCAGAAATTCTTATCCTCACAAAAGCGCCAGCAATTTTGTCAGAGAATGCAGCAACCTCATCAATAAGATCCTCCATCACGCTGCGACGCAAGTAAATTAGATTGATATTGTGCATGTCAATGGCTGCATAATCCTCTGGATTAATTGTCAGTTCTCTTTCAATCTTCTTATGAGCCTTCCTCCTCTTATCAGAACCTAATTTATCGGTCAACTCATTATATCCTCCATTGTTTACTTGAGCCGAATCTGAATCAATTGCTCTCTGACTATCTGCATTCAATGTTGGAGCCTGTTTCACAAGATAATGCATTTCCAAAAGCTTTAGCATCTCAGTATGACCGACACGTGGTTTTCTAAACAAACTGCTAAGCCTTGCATCACAGATAATCTGACTTTTTCTGCGAGGATCACGGAGGTTATTTTGCTTTATATATTCAAGCAAAAGAACCTGGACATCAAACTGGGAAATATAAGAACTATCACCATTTCTCATGTGTCCAATGAATTCCAATAGCTCAGATGATGCCCATTTTGTGTCACCTGGCAAGGACATCCCTTCACCTGCTGATCCATTTGGTAAGCTTCCAGCACTGTTAATTGAGGTTCCACACTTCCTTGAAGTAATGCCACCGTCTATTTTACGTTTTCGTCCTCTTTTTCCTGAAGAGTTATTCTGTCTCCGTTTCTTTGAGGAAATGTCAAAAGTAGCATCTTGGTCATTGCTTGCATCATATAGTTCATCAGATGACTCCTCTTTCTCTCTCCTACCAGCAGTAGTAGGAACAGTCCAATGGGTCTTGGCACTTTTTAGCTCTTCAATCGTTAGTGAATGCTTCCCTTTCAGATCCAACCAATATAACTTGAAAAGATACTCCCAGCTATTTTGATCATCAAAATCAACACCAACCTGAAAGGGCGAAATAGGATCACCAACACACCTAGGATGGAACCATTACTTGCTCAAGGTATTTGTACGTCAACAAAGTAGTACTGCTTGTTTCAGGCAGGTGTTTGCAAAAAGCAAAAGCTTACAAGATTGACCAGCCAATACAGTTGTGTCATGTATCAGGATCAATGTCTATTTTGTTAAGGCATGAGTTACTAAAATTATTATGACATTTTGAGTTTTAAAGGTTTTTCATTGACTTGGAGAAGGCTTATGACAAGATACCAAGAAATGTTATGTGGTGGTCTTTGGGCAAACATAAAGTCCCATCAAAGTACGTGACCCTCATCAAGGACATGTACAACAATGTTGTGACTAGTGTTCGAACAAACGATGGTAACACAGATTACTTCCCGATTAAAATTGGACTTCATCAAGGGTCAGCCTTAAGCCCGTATCTCTTTGCCTTGGTAATGGATGAGGTTACCAGGAACATACAAGGGGATATCCCTTGGTGTATGTTGTTCGCTGATGATGTAGTGTTAGTTGACGAAAGCCAGACGGGAGTAAATAGGAAACTAGAGTTATGGCGGCAGACCCTTGAGTCTAAAGGTTTTAGATTGAGCAGAACTAAAACCGAATACATGAGATGCGACTTTGGCGGAATTGTACAGGAGGAGGGAGATGTGAGTTTGGAAGGTCAAGTAGTGCCTAAGGATACCTTTCGGTATCTGGGATCGATGCTACAGAGGGATGGAGATATTGATGCGGACGTTAGCCATAGAATCAAAGCAGGGTGGATCAAGTGGCGACAAGCTTCTGGCATTCTCTATGACAAGAGGGTACCGCAAAAGCTAAAAGGCAAGTTCTATAGAACGGCGATTAGACCGGCTATGTTGTATGGAGCAGAATGTTGGCCTACAAAGATTCGACATGTTCACCAACTGAGTGTTGCAGAAATGCGTATGTTGCGATGGATTTGCGGTCACACAAGAATAGACCGAGTTCGGAACGATGATATACGTGATCGCCTAGAGGTAGCACCAATTGAAGAAAAGCTTGTCCAACATCGGTTGAGGTGGTTTGGCCATGTCCAAAGAAGACCTCCGGAGGCACCAGTGCATTGTGGAGTCCTAAGCCAAGCTAATAATATGAGAGGTAGAGAAAGACCGAAATTGACATGGGGGGAGGCAATAAAAAGAGATTTGAAACCTTGAGATATACCTAGAGATCTATGTTTGAATAGAAGTACTTGGAAAGCAGCTATTGAAGTGCCTGAACCGTGACTTGAGGCTCTTGGTGGGTTTCAACTCTAGCCTACCCCAACTTGCTTGGGACTGAAAGGCTATGTTGTTTGAGTTTTAAAGGTGATGCCAGTTTTTTTTACTCCACGTACATTATCCAACACTCCTTCAATTTAAAACTATTTTTTGAACAGTAAATTGAAGCCAAGGCCACCCGTACCAAAAACTTAGAGCTAATACACTGGATAAATGAACAAAAAAAAAAGGTAACAATAGTATATGCACAACATGCTGTAGCAAATTTTGAAACACTAATGTAAAAACCTCAGGAAAGGCATGGCATTTGATATGACAATTGAAAATAGCGTAAAAGATGCAGAATAACAAGGGATCTTAACACAAAACCATGGCTCAGTAGCAAGATGAGAAATTCGTTGTATAAAAATATCAATAAGAAATTAAATCGCAGTGTATGCCAAATTATCCCTTATCAATTATCAAGACTTGTCTTCCGACATTAACACAACTTATGGACTGACAGTCTCATGCCTTGTGGTGCCAATTTATGACTTCTTGATGCCATGTCAGCCTGCTGGCTGAAAGTATTTATTTAATCATATCCTGAAGGTTGAAGGCTCAATCGGAAATTTTAAAAGTATAGGTATTCAAATGAACCTTAAGTAAAGCTTGGGACCAATAGCGATATTTATTCAATTATTTTTACTTCTTCACTGAGAGCAGCACCTAACTTTCTTTCCATACATATCTGTGTGTAAAAGACGCTTCTCTAGCTGAAGAGGTGGAAAGCACAAATAAGAGTTGAAAGTTGGGTACCTTTGCACCATCATCTTTGGATTCTATCAGTAATATAGTACCATAACATGTGTCACAGAAGCCCTTGTTCCCTCTAACGCCAAAGAATTTGCCTTGTTTGACACATCCTTTGCAGACAGAGTACGTACAAGTATAACACATGTACTGTACTGCCTTTTCGCAGCTGCTGCAGATGTGCCAACCTGATATGTGTGGCATCAAGAAATAAGTGCATATGAAACCATCACATTTGAATTGTAACAACAACTCGTACATGCACATATCCATGATTGTACTTCTATAAATCATCACAACAAGATAATTTTGTCCTATCCAGATACCATATAATGCCAAAGGACACATTCTTCTCTCCTATGTCAATCCAAGTACAACAAATACATTTTGGCTCAGCCTTTAAACATAAATCTCCAACAAAGAATCACATTGCAAGAGCTATACTGCTAATTTTGTCCTCTTCTACCAATTCAACATATACGTAGTAACATTGATTGAATCAGCTCCCATTTGCATGCTGGAGTAAAATGAGATGGAAAGATTACCATAACTGACTAACTCATTTAATATGGGAGTATATGCATTAATTACCATCTGTTTCTGCTCGAATGTATACTTATTTATTTCAAACATTTCCTATTTCTTCAACAGCTCTTGGCTTGCATTATCTCAATGTCAAAGTGCTATAATAACATCTACTTAAGCATTAATATTTGTAGAACTCTACTCAGCATCTATTCAAGAAATGAGTACACATTAAACACTGAGAAGGCGCAGTCCAGATGAGAATAGCTCACCACAATCCCACTTGCCCCGACTCCGAAAGAAGGATTCGTCTCGCTTGATGCATGCAGGATGGTACACCTTCGGGCAACCCCTAAATGCAAAGTGAAGCTTATCAGCACGCGCAATCAAGTGGAAGCTGCATTACTGTTCCGTACGTACGTAATACAACAGCAAATCGCGCGCGCACACACACACCTCCGGTCGCAAACCACGAGGTTGCCCCCATCGAAGCAGATGAAGCACACGACCTCCTCGTCCTTCTTGTTCACGGGCTTCACCAGCGCAGGCACCGGCGCCGCACCGTCCCTGTTCTTCGGCGGCCTCCCTCTCTTCCTCTTCACCGGTGCCGCGGCGGCGGGCGGCTGCTGCTGCTGCTGCGGGGGCGAGGCCGCAGCCCCCATGATCGATCCGAGGAACTGCTGGTCATCAAAGCCCTCCCCGTGGCGAGGCGGAGACGGGTCCTTCTTCGTCGCCGCCGCGGGAGGAGTCGGCTGCGGCTGCAGGTGCAGATGGGGCGCGGCCCTTCGCGCGGGCGGAGGCGGCTCCGGCACGGGAGGCAGTGGCGGGAGGCGGAGCTCTGGGGGCCACTCGGCCTCGCCCGGGGAGAGCACCTCGGCGCCGGGGCCCGTCCCCCCGTCCATGGATCAGCAGCCCCACCCAAGGCTTAGCCCAAAAACCCTAACCCTAGCTCGTCCTCCACCCCTCCCTCGCTCGAGGCCTACTCGTCGTCCGTCGCCGCGCGGCCTCCCTCTCACGGCCCCGAAAATGAGGTAGTTGGTGTACGACTGCGAGCGGTGGGCAGGCAGGGAGAAAGAGATGATACAGCAAGCGAGGGCGGGGCGCAAGCGAGAAATGGGAAGGCAGCGGGCAAACGGGCGAGCTGGCGGGCTAGCGTAAACAGGGGATGGGAAGCCTTTCCCTTTCCAGAAAAAAATCGCGTCGGTCTGGGTGGTTTTGGGGTCCGGCCGGGCCGGGAACGGGGGAGCGGGGCGCACCGCACCGGCACGGCAGGGCAGGTGCACGGAACAGAGAAAAAGGCGTGGCGGGGCCGCGTTCTTTTCTTTTCTTTTCGGCGCCGGGCGCGGCGCTGGTCCCTCGGCGCGGCGGGGCCTTCTCCTGCTCGGCTCGGCGCGGCGATTGGACGAGCGGGCGGGGACCGGAGGATCCGGACCCGGACCCGGAGGAGACTAGCCAGAGACGTGTGTTGGCAGTGTTGCCTTGCCTGTAGACGACGACGGGGTGGCGTTGGCGTGGTTGGTCGCTGCAGTTATTGGGCTCACCTCACCCCGCTCACGCAGTGGGTGGCCGAGGAGGCGGTGGCCGCCGTGCCGGTGCCGTGCGTGGCATCGTGGGTGCGCACGACCTTTTGACCTGTGCGAGATGCGGAGGTGAGTCGTTTTTGTTTCGCCTTCATGTCACCGCGGTTCCCGGCGACTTCTGGCGCCCGTTGTCTGGTTTCTGCGGAACGCGGGCGCAGTGGGCGTCGGTCGTCGTTCGTGCTTGCTGCGGTTCACAGTCTGAACGCAGGGACGGCTGTCTCGCTTCGGTTCGTGCGCGCGCGATCCGGCCACTCGGGACTCGGGAGTGGCGATACGTAGCTCCAACGTGTGGCTGCCTGTGAGGCTGTCCATGTTTATCCTGACACGGCGAGGGGCGAGCGTCGTGGATCTTGTTCAGCACCTGATTGCCAGAAACCCGATCCTTTGGTTGCGCGCATTGCAGGCACGACATGCTTCGCCATCGTATCTGACCCAGCCTGCCTTTTTCTGCACATGGTGGTTTTTGCCTCTGTGCCTGTGTGTGCTCGACTCGCCCCACGGTCCAACTGCTATGCTCCGGCAGTCCGGCCCACCGGCAACTAATGCACCAAGTATTGTTTGTGTACATTTGGTCTCCTTGATTGAAAAACCCATCGCTGTTACGGTTTCATGGGCAGTTGAGTGCAAAGTTGGCTAAGCCTGCTTAAAATAAACAGCATGACGTGCACCAGGTTTCTGATCGGAGGGGGTTACGCCGTTACGGCCTTTTTAGCTAGTGGAGATAGCGAAGGCTCCTTAGGTTTTTAGTGTGCCGACGATGTGGACGGATGAGCAAGAGAAGACCACGTAGCCCGTCTAGTCTAAAAGCTGCACGGATAAAACAGGCCACACTAAAATATATAGTACACGTCGGAAAAGCACATGGTACTTGATCGGAGTCGGTGACTTGTTTAGATCGGAGTTAGGAATCAGTATTCGGTATTATCGTAGCATTTTCGTTTGTATTTGATAATTATTGTCCAATCATGGTCCCTAACTAGGCTCAAAAGATTTGTCTCGTAATTTACAATCAAATTATGTAATTAGTTATTTTTTATCTACATTTAATACTCTATGTATGTGTCCAAAGATTTGATGTGATGGAGATAGAGTAAAAAACTTACAATCTAAATAAGGTCCGGATGTCAATCCGGGACGTAAGAAAAAATTGTGGTTTCGACTTTGGAGCATCGGCCAAGAACCGAAGAAAGAATCTTGCAAAAATGTGGCACAGCGGGCACGACGACGACACAAAAACCTGGGACGTTTGACGCGCGCGCCGCGCATCCAGACACGTCGTGACACGTCAGTCAGCTGTTGCGCACGGACTCGTTCCCAGGGAACAGCCGGACAGCGATCGATCGAAGCCTGCTCGTTTGGCTGTAAAACATCGTAAACTATCAGAAATTTCAGTTAGTAATAAAGATTTTTTCTCATCATACAAATCGATCAATGATATTTCTTCGTGAATCAAAGAATAAAACAAATCAGCCAACCGAACATGTCTCAAAATACACGAAGTATAGATGACGTTATAGGTCTGCATCCACGTCTGATCCTACCCTAGCTTACCATCAACTATCGCTTCATTGCCGTTCACTAGCTGAAGATGAAAATAAAAAATAAAAAAAATCTACCGATGGTGTCCACTAGAGAGTTGAATAAACATTTCGTGGCCGGAGCGCCGCTCCCGAGCTCCATCTGTAGACATCACAGTCAGGTGGAGTGATTCCCTTGTAGGCAAGCTCTGCAACGTCTTGTAATACGAGACAGAGGAGTATTTAAGGCCCTGTCTGGTTCCAGGACTATTGACTACAGACTAAAAGAGGACGAGAAACTAAATAACATGTTTGGTTTTAGAGACTAAAAATAACTAAAAGGCTGAACAAAAGTTAAAATATTATTTTTCTTTCTTTGGACAGAGGCGAGGAGAGAGAGAGAGAGGGGTAAAGGCTGTAAAGTTGGTCCATTAGTTTAAAAACCTCTCCCAAGAGACTAGTGGACTAGAGACTAAAAATCTCTCTCTATTAATCTCTCCTATTTGATTAAAAGAGACTAAAAAAATTAAAATAATCTCTAATCTCAGTCCCGTGTAACAAACATGCTCTTAGTAGCTAGCATTTGCAGCGCAAGGACGACAACGCAGCAGGAAGCAGCACCCCTGGCCCCCTGCCTCACGTAGCAATAGCAACGTGCCCGTTCGTTCAGCGTTCTGCTGCGTACTATTGTACGTACTACTGGGGTAGGGGGTAGGGATACACGCCAGGACAGGGCCGCAGGGGTTTGGAGTTTGGATATTACTGTTTGGCCCGCGGCTCGCTCGGTTTGCTCTCCTGAGAAGCATATCACGGCTCCCCTTAGCCGTTGTCAGTGTTTGGTTGGCAGAGGTTGAAGAGTATGCCCTTGTTTACTGGTAGGAATTTGGATTTTGGGGCTACTGTAGCATGTTCGTTTTTATTTGGCAAATAGTGTTCAAATATGGACTAATTAGGCTCAAAACGTTCGTCTCGTAATTTCCCACCAAACTGTGCAATTAGTTTATCTTTTCGTCTACATTTAATGCTCCATGCATGGGCCGCAAACATTCGATGTGGCAGGTACTGTAGCAACTTTTTGGAAGTTGGGGTGGAACTAAACACACTGTATATTGGACTATGTTGTTCGGTTTTTAGTAAGTTTGGTTAGCGGAGCTTATTATCCACCAACACTAACACAAACGGTGTCGTGATAGCCACTGATTGATTACCTCACGTCAAATGAATTGCCGTTGAAAGCTTGCCTCGAAACCGAAAGGCGTTTCTCTAACGCGTGTTTTCCGCGCAGCGTTTGACGGGATTCTCGCTGGGTAGCCATTCTCTAGCGTTTGGTTGGGAGTGGTAGCGTTTGGTTGGAGAGTGTATTGGACTGTTTTGTCCAATTCTTAGTACGTTTGGTTGGTGGAGCGTGTTGCCCACCAACACTTAACGCAAGCGGTGTCGTGATAATCATCGATTACTTCACGTCAAATGCATTGTTCGGAACCGAAAGGTGTTTCTCTAATGCGAGTTTTCGGCGCAGCGTTTGGCGAGATTCTCGCATGGTAGCCATTCTCTAGTGTATGGTTGGGAGAGGCGTTGTTTGGTTGAAGAGTATATTATTGGACTATTTTGTCTGGATCTTAGTACGTTTGGTTGGTGAAGTGCGTTGCCCACCGACACTTAACGCAAGAGGTGCCGTGATAGTCACTTATTACTTCACGTCAAATGCACTGTTCGAAACCGAAAGGCGTTTCTCTAATGCGCATTTTCCGCGCAACGTTTGACGCGATTCTCGCCGGATAGCCATTCTCTAGTGTATGGTTGGGAGAGGCGGTGTTTAGTTGAAGAGTATATTGGACTATTTTGTCCGGATCTTAGTACGTTTGGTTAGCGAAGTGCGTTGTCCACCAACACTTATGCGAGCGGTGTCGTGATAGTCACTGATTACTTCACGTCAAATACACTGTTTGGAACTGAAAGGCGTTTCTCTAATACGCGTTTTCCGTGCAGCGTTTGACGGGATTCTCACCTGATACCGTGTATAGTCATCACCATCGCAAGAAACATGCAAGGCAATTACTAAGATATGTCATATAATCTAGCCCATTGTTTTGAAGTAAGACATTGATTTTTTATGTTGTGTTTAAGGGGTATGGCAAAGAAGGAATCTTGCCATAGCTTTTGAGAAACGAAACATACTGTTTATAGGAATGGGTGCTTATGTGAACCACTGCTCTACAAAGCACCTCTAGGGTCCTTGGCTAAGATTGTCTAATTAACTCTATTATGGCGTGACAACAACTCATGCATTTGCCGCAAAACAAGCGAATTGACGTACGCCCTGTTCGTTTGGCTTATAAGCCGTACTTTTTTAGCCAACGAATATTATTTTTCTCTCATAACAAATCAGCCAACAGTACTTTCAGCCATGGCTTATCAGCCAAACAAACAGGGCAGTAGTATGCCATAAAAACAAAGGCCACCAAACTGACTTCCTCGTAGAAAAAGTAGAGACAAGAATGGGTCGAGCTAAAAATTACCGCCTATTCCAATTCTCAATATATTTGGTTGGTGGAGTGCGTTACCCACCAACACTTAACGCAAGCGGTGTCGTGATAATCACCCATTACCTCACATCACATGAATTGCCGCTGAAAGCTTGCCTCGGAACCGAAAGACGTTTCTCTAACACGTGTTTTCCGCACAGCGCTTCACGGGATTCTCGCTGGGTATCGCGAATAGTCAACACCAATGCAGAAACAAGCAAGAAAATTTACCGACATATATGTCATACTATAGCCTAACCGAAGGACGTTTCTCTAATGC